CAGAATCGATGGGCAGTTAAAGTGAGATGTTTTTTCTTCACTTCGACATGGCCAATAAAGTCAGAATGGATGGGCAGTTGAAATGGTATGTTTTTTCTACTCTTCTACATTGTCAATAGATTGAGAATCGATGGGCAGTTGAAATGGGATGTTTTTTCTTCCCTTGGCCATGGCCAATAGATTGAGAATCGATGGGCAGTGGAAATGGGATGTTTTTTCTACACTTCGACATAGAGAATAAATTTGGAATCTACGGCAAGTGTAAATTCGAGGTTTTTTGTACATTTCGACACAGATAATAGACTGATAGTCGGTGGCGAGCTGCAATGGGCTGTTTTAATATCGCTTCGACGTACAGAATAGATTGAGAATGGACGGACAGTTGAAAGCGAATTTTGTTCTAGAGTTGGACGTAGAGAATTGATTGAGAGTGGATGGGCAGTTTAAATGGCGATCTTTTAGGGTCACTTTCGCATAAAGAATTGTTTGAGAATCGATGGCAGTTGAAATGGGATGTATTTTCTTCACTTGGACGTCGACAATAGATGGAGAATCGATGACCAGTGGAAATATATGGTTTTTTCGATGTTTTGACATAGAGAGTAGATTGAGATTGGATGGGCTGTTTAAATGGAGTGTTTTTTCTGCAGTTCTACATGGAGAATACGTTCGTAATCGATGGTGATCAAATGGCTTTGTCAAAATCTGGTGAGCTCCACTCTGCGCAATGTGTTCGTGGGATCCTGAGGGTCGATTATAGATTTATTCCAATGAGAAATAAAAAAAGTTGTTAACAATATGCTGGAACTCTCTATGTTTTTTCTGTACATTTACCCCCAGTTACTCTATATTGTCTATAACTTGATTTTGCAGTTACATTTGAAGAGTAGAAGTAATTATTGTAGTAAATAATAAGAGTGGCGAATTGTAAAGTTACTGTAATACTGGTTTTTCTAAATTTCGATAGTCATTTGCGTTTATGGTCATAAAATACAAGTTGAGTTAGATTTGGTAAATTGTAGAAATATGGATGCATGGTACAATTATTGGGGTAAATTTTGAATTTTTTGAAAAAAAGACCTAATTAAAATTAAAAGACTGAATTCCGTCGTCGCTTCGTGCTTTTCGTTATCGATTTGGTAATAATGACAAAGAATATTTTGGTAATATTAGTATTAAATTGAACAGTTTATTTTCGTGAAATCTGTCTTGTACAAGATTATAAGCATCATCTACAATCATAAGATTATGTATCCTCAAGAAATGAAAACCTGAAAATAAGTAGTGAAAGAATTCTATTGTGCCCTCTTAAAAAATTATGCGTATTATAAACGTATGAAAAGTACTTATAATATTTAATAATATCCATTGATGAATACACGAATATGCATATGTGTATGTATAGATGCTTCGATATTTTGTTAAAAAGAAGAAGCCTGCATCTTGTCGTGGTGGCATATCTTTTTTTAAAGATTTAAAAATAGATTGTACTAAACAAACACATGTTTTGAATAAATGAAAAAACGATCTAAACAGTTGCCAGCTGCTAGTTGTTTAAAAGAATTCGCGTTTATTTCAATAGAATCACTTAACATTTACATGTCTAATTTCGACGACAATGGTAAGTATTAACATACAAAAGGAATGCAATAGTGCAACCCAGGTCAAACCTGCTCGACTGTAAACGGTCGTTTACTGACCAAACACGGCGAATAACGGCGACTGTTTAGGTTTGCCATTTACGGCATACTACGGCAATTGTAAACATTGACCGTAAAATATCACTGGAAACGACTATCGTAGCAACACGGCGACTGTACACGCTGATATTATAAAATCTCGGAAGAAATCGTATGCGTTAGCTTCATACGGTAATTACTTACGGCGACCGTAAACGATGTTTTACGACGCTTTCCAGCCGTTGTGAACAATTAGCGTAAAAACCCACCGTGTAAGACTTCTGTAACACTACACCGACTATATACGTTCATTCCATAATATCACGACATACTATTTGTGTCTGCTGAAAACGGTCTAATACAGAAATACTATTTTTTTTATCGTATTTCATCGCAAAAAGATCGCTAATGTTAGGGAATTACTATTATTCAATATAAATAATATACTCTCATGATCAAGTGTACCAGTTGACATCTAAAAGCACTTGCGTTTCCATAAAGTCGAGAAAGACTCTCCAGTTCTATTTTCTGATATGAGCAATACTTCTATCAAATCAAATATCTTTCCAACGGTCTGATCTGCTCGATTTTCATTCATACACCGCAGGTTCCTCGTACAAGACACTCATCTCACAAACAATATCACAAATAGCGCACATAAAAAAATATATTCACACTGAGTACACAGGTAACAAACGCACAAAAGTTAGACTGAAACTGTCCACTATTCGAATAAAAATCGGTTTTCAGCTATTCGTAACACCATCAAACAATCGCGATTTTTCATCCTTTTCTAGACTCTGTCTACCCTATATATACAGGGGTGCGCCATGTATTAGGGCTCATTTGATTTGCAAAACGACTAGCAGTAACAAGTATGAAAAATCGATTTTTAAGCAGCAGTATTTGATCGAAAAATCATCTTTTTTAGTCTTTTGAGATTCAGCCCATCCTATATATAGGGGTGTACCACATGTTCGCGCTCTTTCCAGTTGAAGAATAGGTAGAGGTAACAAGTATGAAAAGTCGATTTTTAAGCAGTATTATTCATAACAGAAACGATCTTTCCCATCTTTAAAAATCGTTTTTTGTCTCAATTACCTCATTCCGGGGTATTTTTGAAACTTAGAAATCTACTTTCATACATAGGGACCTTTTTTGAATGATACCTGGTTTTCAAGGTGATTTTGGGGATAATTACGATGTTCAGAATAAAAAGATCTTTAATGATATTTATCTTTGAAGTACCTGATGTTATGGTATTTTTCGTGCTTGAATTTATATTTTGATAAAGAAAGATCTTTTATAGAAGAATACCGTATTCCGTAGGCATTTTCGAGATTAAAATACCGTGCTTGAATGAAAATATCTTTAACGATCTTTAAAGATCTGTATCGAGATTTTTTTTGTATCTGATTGGGCTGGAGTTTCTGAGAATATAAACGGAGGAGTGTAGAAGAGATCTTTAAAGACTTCTTGATGGCTATCATATGCCTTAGCTTTGTTTTGGTTTGCCGAAAGTGAGAACGGCCGTATACGGTTGTTGCTGGTTACCGTAATGCTCAGTCTGGGAACAATATTCTTAAAATTTTGTCGGATGGTATATTTATTATTTGTAAATATTAAAAGACAAGAAATCTCTTTAAAAATAGATAAAAGACATAGATGAGAAATGACTCGAATAATATGATAAATATGATAGAAATGATAAATCGACAAAAATGATGTCAGAGTATACAACTTTATTTAATATTTTAGACTTTTGTGAAACACGATCTGAAAGGAGTGTTGAAGTGTTTAAGGGTAGAAATTTGGACCCCCCCCCC